GAGGCCTGGACCATTTTAGGGTTTAGGGCTTAGGGCGTAGGATTACAAAAAATGCAGAAGGGCCTTGGGGTTGTGGCCAAAGCAAGATGGTGCAGCATCTGGGATCAACAAAAGGCAATGCATCCTTACAGGGATCTGTACAAAGTATATACCATTGTATACAGTAAGTACTCATGTTCACCCCGCCAATCCTCTTGAAGCAGCAATCAGGCCAGCTGCGGGTAAGTCAGTCCGGAACTCTACACCAAACACCGGTAACCTTAAAAGGAAGCCTGAAACCCCAAACCCCCCCCAAAAAAAAGCAGGGTTTAGGGTTTGGAAGCATGCTAGGCTTAAACACGGACACTAAATCGCACAACCGGAAATCTTACTCAACTTTACAGCAGATAAAAGATTTATTGCACTACCTAGATAATAACGTACTTCCCGAGGTGTCGGGCATAGGTTATACAAACTCGCGGAAAGTGAACGATAAAGAAGCATTGCCCATATCCACCCAACACCCTAGAACCCTAAACCCCAAACCCTAAACCCCTACACCCTGAAACCCTGAAACCCTAAAAACCCCATAATCTAAAATACCGAAATCCTAAAACCCCAAACCCTAAACCCCTAAACCTTGAAACCCTGAAACCCCTAACACCACTTAAACCTTCAAATCCTAAAAAGCCTAAGACCCTAAAAACCCTAGAACCTTAAGTGGCAGTGATGCAGGGCCCCTTGCAGATACTTGCAGTCCTTCGCCTTGACTCCCAAGTCCTTAGCTGCATGCAGTCCTATCCCTTAGGATCCAAATAGCCCAATGCAGGCAGTATTTGCAGACTTTAGACTTCAGGGCCCAATGTCGGTATTTTTTGTTGTATACTTGGATTCCTGGGGTATTGTCTTGGGGTTTAAGGTTTCGGGTTTAGGGTTTAGAGTAAAAACTTCAGAGATCAGTGGGGTATGAGCAGCAACTAGGGTCATAATGGAAATAACTGTGGTCATTATGTGAGCTCTAGTCTAAACTCCTAGTATCCCCCTTAATAACCCCTTATAATAGTCCCCTATATAATCCCCTGTATATCCCCCTTTATGGAGTTTAGACTATAGTTCACGTGGTATTTTAATGGTTATAGGATTTCTGCTGCCAGGAGCCTCGGCCCAAACTGACATAGAACCCCACATAGCCCCCCCTCAAATGTCAGCCGTCTCCTACCTGAAGACTTTAGGGTTTAGGGTTTAGGGTTTGGGGTTTAGGGTTCAGCATGAACACCCCAAGCCCTACAGTAACACCTGAGTCTGAAAGCGTCAATTGAAGTCCCCAGGTCGCACTTCCAAAGCTTCAGTTTGTGGGATGGGGGGAGACCCTGAACCCTAAAGCCTTGACCCTAAACAGCATTGACAGTAGTTCCTTCAAGGGGCTGGCTTCACATGCTCCTAGCATCAAAAAGACTTGCCAATGGAGTCCGCAAGTGTGCGGCAAGTCCGATAAACACAAACCCCCACACACAAAATCCTTATGCTCATGCCGATAGAAAACTTCCTCACCATCATATACCGCTTGAGTTCCTACGACACTTCGGCCCAATCAACCCTTATCCTAAAAACCGCACCCCTGCACCCAAAGCTGTGGATCAGCGCACTTGCATCCCAAAGCTTCAACCGATGCAAGAATACAGGGGTTTAAGGAGGATTATTACCCTAAATAATGGAAATGGAAAAGAAAATGGAAAATGAAATGGAAGCCCCAGGTCCCTCTAAGGGGTATATAGGGATATTATCCCCTAATAATGGAGAATCAAATGGAAAACATAATGGAAAATGAAATGGAAACTTGGGGGAATACAGGGGTTTAAGGAGGATTACCAACAAACAAAATGCGGAGAGAACCGTGCATGTGAATGAAACTTTAGAATAAACACGCCACCGTTAGCCTACGACCCCATATCCTCAACCCTACCCCAAGACCTTACTTGCATGACAGTCAACACTTTGCAAGCAAGAGAAGTACTAGGTTGCTCTTCACGAACTGAAGCTAAATTAACATACTACGGATACACTGTAAATCATGGGGTCTCCTTGACCTAAGGCCCCATGCGGGTACTATTTGTAGACTCTATCTCCCTTTGTAGGTGGTGTTCATAGACTTAGAGTCCCAGGTGATTATGGTAACTTGACTTTATTTCCTTGAGCCCTACACTCAAAGCCCCACGTGATTATGGCAACTTTACTTTATTCATAGGTACTTTCGCATCAACCCAGTGCACGTACGGGCGCGGGACCTCCTCCAAGCAGGCCAGAGCGGACTCCTATTAGGGTTTGGGGTTTAGGGTACGGAAATGGCATTAGGGCATAGTATTTGGGGGTTTACCAAAATTAGGGGTACTTTTTGGGGAGTCCAATAACCATGGATCTGCCCCTTGTTTTGGAAGGAAACTACCGATTACTTCAAACCATTAAGCACGCAAGAACCTCGGCCAAAATGGAACGGATGCCCAAAAGACCCTAAAGTAACTAGCTTCGAAACGAAAAAAAAAAAAACTTCAAACTGAAAACCCTGGTTCTTACATGTCCCATACCTCCTTATAATACCTATGAAGCCTTTGTCGTATGGGGGAGGATATTACCCTGAATCCTAAAACCCTAAACCGCGTGGCGGCAGGTCCTCCCAGGTCTCACCGTTGAGCATGCGTCTGGTGAGCCTGGCTGGTAGGGCTAGGATTTAGAGTTTGGGGGTAAATAGGTAAATATTAGGAATGTAGGGATATGGGATAGGGGGTACAGGGAGATGGGGGCGAAGCTGCTTGTAGGAGGCATTTGGGCAAGCACGTCAGGGACTCAGAATGTTAAGAAACCTCAGTTAACTAAGGCTTGTCCTCGGCTTAGGGTTTAGGATCAAGGGCTTAAGTTTAGGGCTTAAGGTTTACCCTAATATGAAAAAGCCCCCACCCCTTAGCGGGATACAAAAGGTTTTCATTTCGGGTTTAGGGCTCATAGTACAATCCTTACGGTTCCTAGCAGCCCTCATAAAAGACGGACCCGGTAAGAAGGATTCCTTCAGACGAGCTTTTCCAAGCTAACCCAGGATCCTGCGAGGGTTGGTGCCTTCTGGAACCCCAAACCCCCCTAAACCCCCCTTAAACCCCTAAACCCTTAAACCCAAAACCCTAAACCCTAAACCCTAAACCCCTAAACCCCTAAACCCTTAAACCCTACACCTCCAAACCCAAAAGCCATCCTGTCAGCTTGGGCTCTCGCAACTTCCGTCGGCCGCCACTGTTCTTGATCTCCTTGACCAGGACCTGTCTTTGCAGAAATCTAGACAGTGTTGAGCCTAAGACATTCAAGATTTGGGGCTACAGATACAGAACAATAGAGACGGCCCTAAACCCTAAGCCCCTAATTCACAAGTTTAGAGCCGAGCAAGTTCAGGGGTTGAAGGTCCAGGTCCGGGCAGTAAGGGTTTAGGGGGTTTAGGGCTTGGAGTTTAGAGCTTTTAACACCCCATTTCCAGATAGTCGTTCTCACTGCTGAGACGCCACGAATATTTAAAGGGAAGGACTTATGTCCCTCAACCGTACAGCCAAACCTCCAGCGCCACAAGCCTTCTGCCTGCACAAACAAGGGGTACAGCCTGGTCTTCTATGGAGATGTTTAGGGTTGCGTGCTTTCTGAATTGAGATGCAGTTTCCGAAGGCGTTATGGAAGATGGGGACAACGTATGGTCTACGATTCTATCGCAAACTTCCTCTGTCACAGAGGGGTATGTCCCAACCTTACAGGTCCATTTGTAGTAGGCCCTATGATAATAAGGATCTATTCCTGGAAACATCCATGTTTACGCTACCGACACGAAGCTGCTTTGCTCTCCGGCTTGTTGCTCTGGGCTTGTCTGCTTCTGCTAGAATAATGATCTGGAATGGATGACAGCACGAATACAGGCGGAAAAGAGGAGACAACGTGAGTGATCAGAAAAAGCTCACATGTTCTATGCCGACCCTGGAAAGCTGTTAAAACACCCGCTTTGCCGTCATCTGAACAAGCAAGACTTCGTAACTGTTGCCAGGATCCCCCAAAGATTCCAACCGTGTTCTATGGACACTGAAGCCCATCATGGTCGGAGATTCCTACTGTAACTCCAAGTAGGGGGACCCAACATAACAAGCCCATAAGTTCTGGAGGTAAGCCTTTCAAATCGTGCGCTTCCACGCGCGCTGTAATGTAGACCCATAATTAATGAACCCCCTCCTTTCTTTTAAGGGCCTTAATTAGGATGCCGACTATAATCCATATTAAGTGGAGGGAGTGTATTAATCAGGGGTCCACATTAGGTTGCAAAAGAAAAGGCGAACGCAAGGAAGCCCACCGGGCTGATGGAGGCTGCTTGTTTGGGTGAGATGGAGTCACAAAGGCTTTAGAGGTTGAGGTCTTACGGTCTACGCGGATCTAATTAGGGTTTTGGGGGGTAGAGGCTGCAAGGATTGCTTTCCGGCAAGCGCGCCTGAAAACGGGTCTCGCCGGGTGGACGCCACTTCAGGCGCACAACCTCGTGGCCAGCAATTCCTACTGGGCGTCAGTAGGGAATAAGGTAATACATAAAGTAGGGACTTTATAGGGATCATATTAGCTTGTTTCTCTACTAAGAACCAGTAAAAATTTCGGAGGGCAAAGCTGGAATTTCATTAAGCAACTTCCTAGACTTCCAGGATACCTTGGACAAGGGGCAAATTGCTGAGAAGGTTGGGGTCAAGCTTCGTACTGGAAATTGACATGAGTCAAACCCCACACTGCAATAACCCTCGGTAACGTGCCAGTGAAAACTTTCACTGCTGAGGAATCGCGTCATCTTCATGCAGAGCAGCAGGCAAACTGTCTGGTAGAATCGAAGCTATAAATAGTCACCCTATGGTTCACATCGAGTAAGGTAGGGTGTACAGAACACACATGAACAGACTGCCTGCCTGTATCTTTGTCTACCTATTCATCCCTGCTTTCAACAGCAAGGCAGTTGAGGGCTCCGCCGTGGAGTCGGCCAGCCTCAGGGGCTTGCCCCCTGACATCTGCAGGAGTGACTCCTGAAGGTTGACTTAGGGTTTGGGGTTTGCAGTTCCCAGGTTTTGAGATTCAGGCATTTTCTGTTGATTTAGGCTTGGCGGGTTATAGCTGCCAAGTTCAGAGTTTAGGGTTCAGGGATCATGCAGTCGACTTTGGATTGGAGGTCCAGAACTTAGGCCTCAGGGTCTGAGGTGAGGGGCCTGTGCTACTTGAAGAAAGGATTTGTGATTCGTACTAGTGTGGTGTACAATACTTTAACATGAGACCAACATTAGTTTGAATCGGCCTTTCTCAAGCAGTGAATGAGCTTAATATTATGCTACACCCAATAAGCCCTAGACCCTAAGCTGTCTTTCCCGTAAACCCCCCGGCAAAAAAAAATGATCATCGTGCCAACTTGCAGCCATGGAACAGACAGGGCCAAAAGGCGTTATGAGTGGCTGGATGGGGTGTTCCAACACTGTAACACAGTTTTAGGATTTAGGGTTCCTCTCCGCCTAAAGTCCAAGCCTTTAGGCCCCAGGTTCCGAAGCCGTGGATGTACACATAACCTAAACTCGAATCGCTTGCCTGTAAGCCCACAACTGCATGCATAACCTACACCCCAAGCCCTGTAGACTCTAAGACCTCACATGTAGTTTAGATGGTAGCTTGCGCTTCATATCTTCCATGCTCCTTTGCATTTGTCTTTTCATTGTCCGTTTATAGCCCCTACTTCATCCTTTGCAGAGCAGTCCTTGCCAGTGAGGTCGAGCCAAAACTCCTTCAACGACCGGTACCGGCCAGTGCCAAACTTCTCCACGTCGATACCTGAGTCTTCTTCTGCTGCAGGAAGAGGGTTTAAGCCTTTTGAGAACGCCTACGTTCGGGGTTTAAGGCTTAGGGCTTAGGATTTAGGATTCAGGCTTCAGGGTTTAGTAGTTACGGTTTAGGATTTAGGGTTTAGGCTACAGGGTTTAGGATTTAGGGTTTGGGGTCTAGGGTTGAAAGCTACTTCTCCTCCTCCTGCCTTGCTCCTCCTGACGTCTGACGTGATCACTCTGGCTGCATCTGCTACTCCCACTTCTAAATCCTGAATCCTAAAACTTAAACCCTGCAAGCTAAACCCTAAACCCTAGAGCCAAAACCCTAAGCCTAACCCTAAATGCTAAATCCTAAGCCCTAAATCCTAAATCCTGAACCCCAAACCCTAAATCCTAAACCCTAAACCCTAAATCCTACACCCTAAATCCTAAACCCTAAACCTTCACTGTTCCTCCTACGCTGTTCTCAGGCCCTGGCCGCAGCGCCGCAGCAGAATCAGGAGTGCCGTCTCTGTCGGAGGGAATTGCACCACACCCTCTTTCCTCAGTTGGCTGGGGATGAACTCTTAAAAGGACACAATGGATTCTGAAGAAACATTCAGCAGAGCCTTTGCTTCAATCTTTTGGACCCTTTATATCGCTACCTGTTTCTTAAAAGATCTTGACGGGCGAGTGAAGTCCTAGGGGCATCAGCAGAAACAAGCCTTGGGAGTTTATCAAGAACGTCTCTCAGGACACCCTTACTTTCCGTGTGCTCCATGCTTACATCTCTAGGGTAATTCAAGGGCCCTGTTTCAGAAGTTCTTCTTGAAAGGGAAGCCCAGGTAGGTAAAAGAGACTCCCTCAGGGGCAGAAGCTCCTGGAGCCTAAACCACAAAGCCTGCATGATCTCTAAACCCTCAACCTGAATCCTACAGCTACCCTCCGCAAAGAAGACCATCCCCGATTTTCGGTGCCTGTCGTATACGATCCCATAAGTAACATTTACAGACTTTAGGGCCCAATGTACGTAGGTACTTACTTTATACTTGGACCCCCTGAACCCTAAACCCCCAAACCCTAAACCCTTGGATCCATAGGGCATTCCCTAACCCCCTCAGCCTCACCCTGTGAAACTGTGCAGCAAAGCTGCTGGAACGCGTATTTGGCCCAGCGCTCATCTGCGGTGGCCTGCAGGTGTAGGGTTTTGAATTTAAGGCAGTTTGAGGTAAAGGGTTTAGAGGTTCGGGTTTAGGGTTGCTTGAAAGTAGAAACCCCACCATTTACGGGGTTCTCACTTCTTCTGGGGTAATGGGGATCTCTGGGGCTTCGAGATAGGGTTTAGGTTGGGTTTAGTCTTGGGGGTTTTGAGCTCTCCCGAGCCTGAAAGTTTACGACTTAGGGTTGAGGGATAGGAAGGGGCCCTTTGCGACTCAAGACTCTAGGCTGTACCTGGTCCTTCCAAACAACCAGACTAAGGCTAAGGGCCCTTGAGCCTAAGAGAATGGGTATTTAGGACCATGACTGTAGGGATTTGGGAAGTCCACGTAGGGTTTAGCACTTAGATCTACATATGCTAAATCAAAAGCAACACCAAACGGAAAATGAAATTGCAAATGAGATGGAAGTTGGGAGTATGCGAGGGGTTTATATCAATTTACGAATGGATTGGGTTACCTCACCTCTGAAAATATTTTAGGCGTTGGGGTTGCCGATGGGATCTGGATGCAGAGTGCTGATGTTAACGGCTTCAGGAGCACCACGGCAACTGGAGAAATGGAAAGGTGTAAACTCCTACAACTGGACGTCTGAACCAAAGCTGCGCCCTGTGGTCGCTGGCTGTTAAGCCCATCAACCTAAACCAGTGCAACCTTCCCTAAGTCCCCGCTTGCCCTAAACGCTTGAATGCTGCATCTTGGCCACCTAAACCCATTAATCCTACACGTTCGCCATCTAAGCCCCTATACACCCCAAGGACCAAACCCTAAAGCCTACCGTCTAGCAACCCTAAACCTTCCCTAAACCCTGAATTCTCAAACCATATGTTGCCTAAACCCTGAATCGAACTCCCTACGGTCTCTAAACAGATTCCCTTACCCGAAGCCGCCTCTCCGAGGTTCACGAAACGCTGTAGCTTCTGCGCCGCTGCGAACGGCACCCAGCGCCTAGTGTAAAAGCCTAAATAATTACCAACATTATACGGACATAATGGAGAAGAAGATGGAAACTACAATTTAGGGTTTAGTATTTGAGGCTTTTGGGTTTGGGGTTTTAGGGCTTAGGGGACCCAGCGACCGTACCTGGAGGTTTGATTCATTTGGGCTTGTACAAGGAGGGGCCCCCTAGCTACATGATTAAGCATAACTTATTATTTATAAGCTTATAACTTGCCCCGATTCTAACCCAAGTTATAACCAAGGGGCCTTCCTTAAATCTTAAACCCTACGCCCGGGTTCGTGGTCTAGGACTTACCCTAGGGATCCAAAAAGCCCAATGTAGGTAACATTTACGGACTTTAGGGCCCAATGTAGGTATTATTTGCATACTTGGATCCCCTGGGTTAGGGTTCAGGAGGCTGGAGTTTTTTTCTCTTGGGCTTTGGTACACTTGAAGCCGGCTCTGCCTGCCATGTGCTCGACAGCAACCATACGGATCATTAGACCCTAAACCCTAAACACTCATAACCCCTTTATAATAGTTTCCATTTTCCTTTCCATTATCCGTATATAACCCCGATATAGTTCCTAATATGACCCGATATAGCGGCTAGCGTATCCAGGAAACAAGTACACATATTCAGCTAAAGAGGGTTTAGGGTCTGGGGCAAAACTCATAAGACAAAACACTGAGTGGAAGCTTTTCCAAGGAATGAACAGTTTGATACATCTTCATGGTATCTTCTGCCCATACACAGAATTCATCACTCTGAACCGCAAACACGAGTATCTAGACCCAATTTTTGCACTGGCAAGAAAATAAGGCAAAGCTCTGATCAGAAAACGCGGCTCCTTGGTTTCATGTGCCCTCATTGCGTTTTGGGTTCCTTGGGATTATTGCTGCAGCTGCAAAACCCTAAACTATAAGCCTAAGACTTCCGCGTCTTCATGAGTTCCAGCGGAATGTGCACTGCGATCTCACACGAGGCTGCGGCCAAAAGATCTTCTTGCCAGTGCCATTCCTGCAAATCGCAACATGTCCCATGCTGCATGAGCCTACAGCCGTATCAGCAAACGGGTGTACTGGGACATTGAGCCTGACAGATGCTTGGGATGCGAGGGAGCATGTCTGCGAAGGGCCTAGACCTCCTGTCAAGCCGGTATGCCCTTGTCATCTCAAGCATCAGGAAGAAGCCGGTGCATAGAGCCAGACATTTGAGCAATTCAGACTACATCAGTAAGTAGAATTGAACTGGCGGGGCTTCAAAGCGCAGGACATAGTATAAACCTTCAACTTCAGCGTTTAGGATCTAATGTTCAAAAAGGCCAAACCCCCAAGGCTGCATCCTGAAATCATCAAACTGAAGCCTTGATCCAGTCACACCCCTTCAGCTTCGTGATGATGAAGCGGGAGAACAACAACAGATGAGGCTATCCAACCCTCAGCCCTCAGACCGAAACCCAAAACTACTAAACACCTAAATCCCGAATTCCTAAACCCTAAACCCTGAAACCCTAAATCCCAAGAAAAAAAGCAGGAATCAAGTCCTGAAGGTGCAGAAGTGGCATTGGAAGGGCAGCCCCTGGCAGTGCGATCCAAATTGCGGATCCAGCGTTTACTGTTTCGGAGTCAGGGTGTCGGGCTTTGGGTTTAGCATTTAGGGTTTCGGATTGTAACGTTTAGGTGTCAGTAAAAATTAGGTCTGGAGTTTGAGGTCTAGGCAGGTATATCACAAAAAAGCGTATGTTATCCGAAAGTTGGGTTTTCCTGCTTAACTTGGGTCTACGTAGACCCTGAGCCCTGAACCCTTGAACTAGTTAGGCGGTGAAGGCTGTTAGGCATGTCAGGCTCGTCGGTCCTAAAAGGAGGGATGAAATGTGGCCCCTTACCCGTTTCAATGTGGCCCGTGATTGGTTTGCAGGGTTGTTTCAAGAGGCATTATGGGTTGCAGAGACTTCAAGTGCATTGAAGAGTGATAAAGTGCTACTCATCGACTTGCTTTCGACCGAATGGCTTGAACACCTTAAAGGGTTGACAGGGGGACTTTACGGCTTAGGGCTGTTTAGGGTAACTATTAGCGGGGTTTAGGGTTTAGGGGGCTGGGGCGTTCTGTGCCCTTCACTCAGACAGAAGGGAAGCTCCTGCACGTTGCAGCCACGTGTGCACTCCCGCAAGCAAGCATGGGCCCGCCAAATCCGGGTTCAGGTATCCTCAAATCCCCTTAAACACCCCCTAAACCACCTAAACTCCCTAAACCATGATAGACGAATTTCTTCATCGGATGGCTCTGAGGCTTGACACTTCGAAGCCTGATCCCGGCTTAGGGTTTCGAGCTTCGAGGTTGCCATGGCTTCCCAGCCCCAAACCTGAAACCCTGCACCCTAAACTCTAACCCGCCCCCCAAAGAAACGTAAATCAGCCTGATACACGGCAGGGAAGGTTGCGAAAGGACAGTGGTCTTTGTAGGCATCCTTTAAGGGTGGGGAGCCCCGTAATCTGGCTTTTTCAAAAGCCGACGTAAACCCCTTAAAACCCCAACCTCAAACTCCTAAAATAGCCCTACCTAAGCCCCAAAAGTATGTAGAATACTGGCCTGTTGGGCTATATTAATAGATTTCGGGCTATTATTCTACCTACTTTTGGGGTTCAGGTACACCTAAAGTCCATTCGAGCAAAAGGCGACCTGGGGGCCACCCGAACTCGCGGCGGTGGAGATCTCACCATTGGCGTCCATGGGAAATGTGAGCCCTGGCGTTGGTTGTTTTGTTGTTTTTTCTCGGTTTTGGGGTTCAAGTTTTTGGGGTTTGGGGTTTTCTGGGTGTTTGGGGTGGGGGGTTTAATTCACTTTTTAGGGGCTTAATTTTCAGGGGTTGAAGTTGAGGGGGGGTTGGGATGAAGGGCTTGTGGGCGTGCTGTTGTAGGCAACTGACAGAAAGTTACCTACAGAAGGAAACCTTCTTATACATATATATATATACATATATGTATATATATATATGTATACGCAGAGAAAGGTGACTTAGCACTAAGTTGCCTGACAGCAACACAATTTGGGGTTGAGGGTCAGCTCGGATATTAAAACATGCGATTTCAAGGGATCATCGTTGTTGAGCAATGATCTTCTTGACTACCGCCATAAGCCAGAAAGCTTTTATACTGCGGTTGGAGGGAAAATTGCATCATCTTACATACCCTATACCCCAAAAGCTTACAGAGCTGTGGGGGATCCTGAGTTGCGCAAGATATCCCACATCCACAGTATCATCAATGTCACAGGTCAGGTTACTACCTTAAAGCCTGCCGCAACACTTGCGGAGAATTTGCCTACAGAGAAACAAGCACGTGCCGTATAGGGGCTTCTGCAACAAGGGGTGCTTTAGGAACCCCATACATGGGAGCCAGAAAGGGATAATGACTATGGGAGTCTCATTAGGGTTTAGGGTTTGGGTGCTTAGGAGGATTATATAGACATAGGAGACTATGGTCAATACAAAACTCTCCGGCATACAAGCCTTCAAAGGTTCTCAAGTGCCCGATCCTCAGCCCTACAGTCTAAACCCCAAATCCAAACCAAAAACCTATCCCTAGAAATCCGGTTTAGGGTTTAGGTTTTGAAGTCCTAGAGGAATCCTTCTCATTGTCAAAAACACTCCTCATAATGACGTCCAGCCTGGAATCAGCATCATCCAAAACGGACGCCGAATTTCGACCCGGATGGTCCCAACGAATTCAGGTACTGTAAGCATATCACGACTGGCGTTTAAGAAATGGAAGCTCTACAGGACGGCCTGGACCCCTCAGGTATGTAGATTGGAACATGCCAGGCCACACTAGGAAATGTATATTAAAGGGTGCGGGCTTGTCATATTTTAGGGAAAGAGGATGAATCATATACTTCCTACAAACCTGTACTACAAATCAGACTACCCAAATCTCAAGTACTCAATTACTGGGTAATTGGACCCTTATGCCTATATATCCCTATGTAGCCCTATATCCTTTATAGCTTACATATTTACCCTGCACATCCTCGTATAACCCTACATCAGCCCTACATCACCTATATGTCCAACATAGCCCTATATGACCCCGTATAGCCTGCAAACGCTTATATCCTCTATGTATCCGATATATCCCTACATATCCCTGTACTATGGCCCTATAACATCCTATAACCCTAGATCTCCTAGATATCCCCACATGGACGCTTAGGGAAAGAGCAGCCGAGGGTGCCATTCTGGCTCAGCACATCGCCACGGTCGCGCTGCACCTCCCAACCTGGTCTTGCCAAGGTTGACCCCAAGGGTCCAGTATGCGAAATGACCCTCTATGGCTTTATCCTCAATCTCCGAAAGAATTGGAAAAGCTTAAACACCAAAGGAACAGTGGATTACTATTACAATTAAATACTATTACTATTACTGCTACTATGACTGTTACGATTACTAAGGAAGAGTGGCCCTGAAAACAACTTGAACATAATGCTGAGGGCTCAACATCCGAATTGCAGCTTAAGAAGCAGCCAATAAGGGTGAGCCAGAACGTTGCATTCATGATTAAGGTTGATATCGTGCCTGCTCTGCAGCAGCATAGGGTTGAGGACGCAAAAGTTATAGTAATAGTAAGATAACAGTAATAGGAAGAGTAAGTAGTAATTAGTAATGGTACTAGTAGTAGCAATAGCAATTTTTCGTTTAGGGTGTCCAAATGAGGATTGCTTTAGCTGGAGGCTCTGTCCCTGAAGCCGGAGGAGGAGGATCTTTATACATGTATATCTACATATATATATATTACCATTATTCTCGTTATTATCGTTTTATATACCCCTACAAACTATACATACATATATACAAATATACACCTATGTCTCTGTATGCTCTATGTATCCTTATATATCCTGGACGAAGGTCAGGATTTCAGGGTGGAGTTTTCTTCTAGAGTTTAAGTCGCCACCTGCCAAGCTACAGTCTTCCTTTGGCCTGAAGTGCATCCAGAAAGTTTAGGGTTAGTTAGGGGTTGGGTGTTTAGGGTATAAGGTTTAAGGGGTTTGGGGATCTATGGGTTTGGGGGTTTAGGGTTTTTAGGCGTTTCGGGTTCCCCCCCTCACAGGAATTGTCTTTAAAGGGGTCGTGTTAAAGGGCTACTATACTTCCGACTGCTTATTGTTGTAACTGTTACTGTAAAGGAGAAGGACCCAACCGATATACCTGTTGCAGCAATGTTTCACACACCGTACTGACATGAGAGGCCTGTGCAGACAGTTCTACATGGGAAAAAATCTTGTCCTTGAATTTTGGGAAGCCCACAGAAAGGGATCTAGTCTAGTAGATTGGAATACACACAGCCCACCTTATAGGGAAATATGAGGCGGACGCAGGGGGTTAAAGAGAAAATAATACCCAAAAGAAGACTCAGATCTCCCGGGTCCCCAGCACACCATGTGCGTGCGGTAGATGGAAGCCATGCCAGGGTACCTCATGAGAAGGTTTGTTGAAGGTTGAACCAAGTAAGATTAAATCCTTCTCTGGCAATGCTACAACAGAAAGGAGAATACACTCCATGCATCTTGGAGACTATAGTATCAACCTGAAGCCCTAAACCCTGAACCGTGTGGTCTCTTAGGCTTAATGGCCCAGGGTGACATGGTAGGTTGACATACTATGAGGTAGAATCATTCAGGAAAACCCCACTGACCACATCTCCAGTTCAAGCTCTGCCAATGGTGGGACGAATGCATGACTTTTGCTAGTGCTACCCTATGATACCAACTTGCTTCCAGTGAAGGTTTGCAGACAGGAGGGCACTCCACGAAACTGGGCTTGCAAAACAATACGCTGCGAAACAACGCCCCCAGAACCTATTTGACCTTTCTTGGTACTAGTACGTCAGAACTTCCTGGTGGCAAGTCTCAAATTACCATCCCGCCTGCAGCGACCCCTGTTGGATATGCGGCCTTCGCCGTTTATGTTCGGGCCTCGCCGGTATATTGTTGTTGTAGTACAGAATGCGAAACGTGTGCATGGATGGACTATTCTAGGCATATGGAACTCACAGAGGTTGAGGCCACTGGCCACTCCCATGAAACCGCCAAGCGTATCAAGTGGGCAACTTTGATACTTCAGAACCCGGAGTTAAGGCCGTGTTTAATCATATTCCCCAGTCACAACTACAGTTAAGGGTGAGCCCGCTTGAGCGTTTGAGACCGCGATACTTCGCCGAGTGTTCAACCACCTGGAAGAATCTAACCTTGAACCGACGATCGCCAAAGACCGTAATGCAGCCGCAGCACGATGGAGACATCGTCGTCTCTGTCAGCACCTCAGCTTGCTGGTGGGCAGTAGAGAAAAGAATGAATGAATCAGCCCTGTAATCCCCAACAGGGGAGAGAGTCCCATGTTATTCTTCATTCCTTCTTTCGCCGCTAACCACCCTAAACCCTAAACGCTACATCATGCAGTAATACCACTAGTTGCCACGCTCTCTTCTACTCCCCATTGAAGCCACCTGTAAGTTAGTGCTTTGGGGGTTTCTCAGAGTAGGGGTACCCAAGTAGGGGCCTCTAGATACATGGGAATTGCAAGAGGATTAATGAACTGCCCCTTGGGGCAATATAGAGCGCACATTTTCAGAAACTCACACATTTCGATGGTTCTTACATGTATAGTCCCCCCTAAGTAAATAGAATATGGCTTTGGGTATATTATAGTAAGATCCCATATACCCCATATCCTATCTACTTAGCGTGGACTATGTCCGGCTGGAAGTGTGACCCTTGCTAGGGGAAAAGCTCTGGTTCTCTGCGATGAGTGGAGGAGAAAAAACATGGCGTTCCGTGGGTATATATTTGGGTTATATCGTGGTTCTATGAGGATAATGGAAAGGAACATGGAAGCTACCATAATAGGGTATATAGGTCTGGGATTAAGTACTACTTTGGCTGAGAATCCCCTCCTTGCTGGTAGGCTCATCACTTTGATTTCTGAGCGACTGTCGCGAATACGTAACACTATTCGCGCCTCAAGTTCCGCCGCTCTTAAATCGTCCCCATATAGCCTTACATTGATATTGTAGTTTCCATTTCATGTTCCATTTGATTCTCCACCATGGTCCCTACCACAAGTACTACCGCTACCGCAGCTACAGCGTTGCTCCCTCCACGCCACCGCCGCCGCCACTCCTGTAACTCCAACTACTGTTGATACTAAAAGTCCTGCATGACCTTCATATACTATAGTACCATAATCCCCAAAATTTAAGGTACCTAGGGTCATGCAGGCTTTTTAGTATCCACCGTATTAACACGGTTTAGGCCCTAGGCGAAATCCAACGTGACACCAGGTCTGACCTCGTGTGCTTAATCGCCTGAGATTACTTCAGTAAAGTATACGAGTACTATTACTATTGATATTACTATTACAATATTACCATTCCCACAAGATTATGCAGGCTTTTGTCCATGACGAGTACAGAGCCTGCGCACTTTTGCATGTTGTTGGCGCTCCAGCAGCCGCGGCCAAGGGGGGGGCATCCCTCATACAGATCCTTGCGCTACACTCCTGTGTTCGCGCAGGAAGACCATCAACTATGATACTTCCATGATGACCCAAAGTGTCCAACCCCGTCCACAGAGGCAATGCGCAAGCATGCCCACTTTCCCAAGTCTGTGCCACTCTGCCTTTTTGTGGAATAACATTGAACCCTAAACCCTAAACCCCTAAACCCTAAACCCTAAATCCCTAAACCCTAAACCCTATTTCTTATCTGGTCCTCTGTTACTGGCTTGAGATACGGTCCTAAACACTGTTTGGCGATGCGCTTGAATCCGCGGATGGGAATCAGGTTTCCGTCTACCGGGGTTATATTGGGGATATATAGGGATAATGGAAAATCAAATGGAAACTGCTATAGTATATTGGGGTTATGGGTAGACGCCCAACACCCTGACTTCATCCCATTCGGAGAATCTCCGCATGAGGACGCGAGCCGTTTTTCAGAGCCGAGTTTTAAAGCGAGTTTTAGGATAACATAATGAGGAACCTGGTGCAGGATACAGATCATGGGCTTCAAGGGACGCATAGTCTTCCCATGGAACAGACTGCGGATTGGCGATACTATAATCATGACTAATCAAATTGGAAGTTGCATGGAAAATGAAATGGAAACTGGATGTGCGTGCCAGTCTATGTATACATACATATATATATATGTGTACATATTTCATCGCCAGATAGGTGCTATTGTTACCATTGCTACGGCTATAACTATCACAACTACTACGAACCATTAACATCATAGGTACTCTATGACTCTTACGAATACTATTACTACATTGGTATTTGCACTACTTGCTATCACTACTACTATTTCTCTGGCCATTGTTAGAATGGCCATTTCTCTTACAGTTGCTATGAAAACTATATATTTGTACTTATTGGTAATAGTGTGATTGGCTATCGTGGTTGGATGGGTTGCTTGTAGTCTGCCTCTGCTTCGGACTCTTCAGGGGCACCGGCTGTAAGTATGCCCCAGCCTGAGCAGTCACCGGCCAGATGTGCTTCTTTTTGCTTTTGCTTGGATGACCCTAAGCCCTAAACCCTAAACCCTAAGCCCTAGACCCTAAACAAGCCTACAGCCCAATCTCAGTTTGTCCTGAAAATGATACTTGACCCTATAGGGCCCTTGCGAAATCACGCGCCGCATCACTTCTTGCAACGGAAGAATTTCAGGATAATGCAAGAGAACTCACCAGTGTGGGTAGCGGGGAGCCACGGAAAGGATCCTCAAACGGATCCCTATTTCCTATGCCTTCATTCCCTACGAACTGTCTAAAAGCAGCTAGGATCCTGCACCTTTCTCAACCGAAATGTCTCTCATCATCGGGCCCAAACCTTCCCAAACCTTAGAGCTTAGGGTTTAGGATTTAGCGGGTTAGGGTTAAAGAGGCTTAGGGTTTGGGGTTGTGGACTCGGTTGTCTTGATGGGCGCATAGGGCCCGAATTCTACAAACATGTAAAGTCTAGAGTCTAGACCCAGACTCTTCTGCGCGGTGATGTTAGGCACGAAAACACTGAAGATAAGTTATGCAGCTTGCGCGATCACGCCTAAACCAAAACCCCAACCAGTCTTTGGTAACATGCCTACGTTGAAGGAATTGCATACTGCCCGCTCAGGTGTCACAAGCCTCTGCTTGCGAACGGACGTTTGCACTGACAAAATTCGGGAGGGCGCTCAGCTGCAGATAGAAAACACGCATGCAAGAAAAAGTGCTAATGTCATGT